TTTAGGAATAAATCTTCGTGCAATCTGAAAAAAAATGCTATTTTTTGATAACCTAATTATTTATCACCACAAGTGGTCAGAGTAGGCCTACCGGGGAGCTTCCCACTTTCAAAAAAAGAAGCAACGCGCCAAAACGCACTACCTCGAGGGTGGTGGGGAAATGTGCTGTTATTTGTATAGATCATCGAATATATTAAAGAATTGACTACATTGAGTTTGATTTCAATCCTTTGGTGAAACTCAGATATGTTTTACGAGTTTTGGTTACGAGTTATTCGATATTTATTTAATATATCATGAAAACATATCATGAGCAAAACATGATAACACTTTTGACTGACCTAAATTCAAGCATAGACTTTTCATTTGATATACAACAACCTATAGACATAATATTCACTAAATGGCACTTCACGAAAAATTCAAGCAAAGACCTTCCATTTGATGTACAACAACATACAGTTGACATAATATTTACTATATGGCCCTTGAAGCCCTTCAAAAATTGATTTTTGTTCATTTCTAGCAGAGACATTTGTATTGATAAATAACAAACTAAAGTTGACATAATATTCACTATATGACCCTTGAGGCCCTTCAAAAGTTGATTCTCGTAAATTTCAGGCAGAGACCTTCCATTTGATATACAACAACCTATAGTTGGCATAATATTCACTATATGGCCCTTGAGGCCCTTCAGAAGTTGATTTTCGTAAATTCCAAGCAGAGACCTTTCATTTGATATACAACAACCTATGGTTGGCATAATATTCACTATATGGCCCTTGAGGCCCTTCAAAAATTGATTTTCGTAAATTCCAAGCAGAGACCTTTCATTTGATATACAACAACCTATGGTTGGCATAATATTCACTATATGGCCCTTGAGGCCCTTCAAAAATTGATTTTCGTAAATTTCAGGCAGAGACCTTCAATTTGATAGGTAACAAGCTATAGTTGGCATAATATTCACTATATGGCCCTTGAGGCCCTTCAAAAGTTGATTTTCGTAAATTCCAAGCAGAGACCTTTCATTCGATATACAACAACCTATGGTTGGCATAATATTCACTATATGGCCCTTGAGGCCCTTCAAAAATTGATTTTCGTAAATTTCAGGCAGAGACCTTTCATTTGATATACAACAACCTATAGTTGTTATAATATTCACTATATGGCCCTTGGGGACCCTTCAAAAATTGATTTTCGTAAAATTCAAGCAAAGACCTTCCATTTGATAGGTAACAAGCTATAGTTAACATAATATTCACTATCTGGCCATAGTTGAGGTTAGGGCCCATCGAACAATCCTATTTGAGAGCGTTCAGAGGTCTGCAGCACCAGAATCGCCGTTCTCACTCGTCGGAGACGGATGACCTTGAAAGCGCCAAAAATGACCAGAATGGACCTTAAAATTCATGGAAAAAGTCCGTAGATCTGGGGAAAAATCGCATCGTCTGACTCTCTCTAACACATGGGCTCTTATGGGGCTTTCCGCCGTGCAGCGTAGAATTTCCGTAGAATCTGGGGAAAAATGACTTAGAATTTTGAAAATTGGGGCCGTTCTCTTGTAGCTCCTTTACTTCAATAGTAGCTCTTACTCAAACCATGCCCAAAAATACCATGTCCTCAGAGCCTGGGCAGGAACAGACAGCAGGAAGTGGCACCTCAGCCACGTGGAAGGAATTCTGCAACCAGCAGACCTTGGAGATCCACCTGGTGCTGCAGAGAAGACTGCTGAGATAAGCCAGGGGCAGGTGACTGGGCCATGCAACCAGGATGGATTCGGGACTCCTCAGGAGATGTCCTTGAAGACTCGCAGGTCCAGCTTGGAAGTCTCAGCATGTGCAGCTCCAGAACTGACAGAAAGTCAGGCAGCAGCAGCCAGACGACGAGGTCGAAATTCCGGGTCCCAGCAGCAAAAGTCTCAATCGGACTAGCCGGCGTTGAATCAAACGAGGTAACAGAAAATGGACGACGACTCCACGAGGTGCTGCCCAAAGTAGCCGACGGGGTATCCGTCGAGGCCCACAAATCTGCGGCAATACACCAATATTTATAGCCACCAGAATAAAACTATGAAGTAGGGTTTTATCCCTATTAGGTTTGAAACTTACCCCTGAGATCAGGAAAGGCCTCACTACACGAAAAGACTACCAAATAGTGATCGGTCTGCATCTTGAATGATACCAGGATGGGGCCGAAGGAAATGATGAAACGACGCCACCAATCTAGGAAGGGGCAATTCCTGCGCCTTCTAGAATCTTACATCTAGAAATTCTACCCAGAAAAAACTTTGAAATTTCCTGCGCAACTTGAATTTTGAAGACAGCAGGAAACGTTGATCACGTGATGTGCATCCTCATCCGGGGTTGGTCAGTTCCACAGGCATAGCTACTTACACACTTACGAGACTATCCTGTCTAATCCAAGGCACGAAAATCCATAAAACAACAAACATATGACCACGGAGCACATAGAAACATATTCCGATCGAAGATCCAACGTCATCCTACTCCGCCCGAACCAATGGAACCACCTACACCGCTGATTTCGCAGCCAGCATACTTTTAATGATACTGACCAGGTATTGCTCGTATGACGGTGAGTGACATGACATGACAGCACTGTCACTGTTTTGAGACGTCAGTGTCAAAAATAGACTTACATAATATCAACAAATCATTGTTATTGATTAACAATATGAAATCAATACTCTCAAAATTCATCTCAGACCATAATAATTCAAGGTACGTAGCGAAATTTCCAGCCAATTATTAGGGTATTCTTCAAACATAAATAATCTACCATCTGAAACTGTTTTACATTCACCAACTACTTATTTATTTCCAGGTGAAACCATGAAGTGCCAACACCAGGATATCTTTCCAACCTAAGCCTACTATACTGATGAAAAATCAAGCAGCTTATTTCTGGTGAGTATTCTACAACTTCATCAATATTCTATACTAGAGTGTTTTGATATTTTCAGGTGAAGAACCACTTCACACTCTGGACCATTGGAGGAATAATATTGTGAATACTTAAGTGCCATGTACTTTTATACATGAATAAAAACATTATATACAGTGTGAGTGTCTCCCTAGTTGTTAACACCGAAATCTAACATCAAAAAACCTTATACATAATGAACTTCACCTAGGAACTGAAAATTAGAGAAAAAAGGTAAATTTTCACGTTACACAATGAAAAATCCTAATTTTCATAAAAACTTCGACATTCTGTGTCTCAGATACAGAGCGTTTTCATGTTGTTTCCATGTTAACAGGAACTTTTCTCTCATCAACAAGATGTTCTGGGTCCTGAATAAAAGAGTACTATATTGATTATTGAAAACTATACCTTTTCAACTTCAATTTCGGAATCGGTAAGTTATATTTCGGAGAAAGTAATCTCGATTTCAGAGTTGGTTAGTTCGATTTCAGAAATGGTGAACTCAATTTCAGAATCGGTGAGATGAATTTCAGAAAAAGTCCATTCAATTTCAGAAATGGTGAGTTGTATTTCAGAATTGGTAGGTTCAATTTCAGGTAATTAATCCTTATATTATTATCTGTTGGGCATCCTGCAGATACCATAGTGGTAATTCTGGATAATGCACCTGCACATTCTACATTTCAAACATATAAAAGGATTTCATCTTCTGAAATTGAACCTACCAATAAAACTTACCATTTCTGAAATTGAATGGACTTTTTCTGAAATTCATCTCACCGATTCTGAAATTGAGTTTACCATTTCTGAAATCGAACTAACCAATTCTGAAATCGAGATTACTTTTTCCGAAATATAACTCACCGATTCCGAAATTGAAGTTGAAAAGGTATAGTGTTTTTGGTTAATTTACTGTTTTTGTTCTCAGATCTTGTTTCTAGTGTTTTGCTGTGGTGTTTCGAAGATTAGAAACTCCTAACTGATTTCGTTTAATTAGTGTGCTGAATTTATCGTGAAGACGTACTAAAAACTGTTTATTCGTGACAAAAAGGTGTTATAAACAATGAAGTGTTTTGTGCCTGGTTGTCCCAATTATGCTGGTGCCCTAGAAGGAATAACATTTCACAGGTAATATCCATATTTCAACAATTGTGCTCATGTTTTTTTATACCAATTGCCTACTTTTTAATCAATGGTCTGTCTGGTAGAGAAAAAACTAATTTGGTAAAGCAAGCCTTGATTATACTTGCTGAAATCAATATAAACATAGTTTCCCTGACATGTGATGGTACCAGTGCACATTTCACTATGGCTAATGAACTTGGAGCAAGCATTGATACTTTTAGTTCTGGGATAAAGCCATACTTCTCTCATCCAACTTCAGGTGCAAAAATTTTCATCATTTTTGATGCTTGCCTCAACAAAATTTCAGACAAGGATGGAAATACAATAGATTTTGATTTCATTACAAAATTATACAATATTCAAGAGGATCTACAATTCAGATTGGGTAATAAATTGAGGAAGGCTCATGTGGACTGGACCAAACAAAAAATGAAAGTGAGTATATATCTCTCTGATCATTTACTTCAATCATTACAAAATAATCTTACGGTGGATTTATGCAGCGATCGTAATCGCAAGTCTTAGTCGCAAATCGGAAGTCGTAGGTCGTAAGAAAATTCAATGATCAGATTGGTATCGGAATATTCATGCACAAGTCGTAAGTCATAAGTCGTAGTCTCAAGAATTCAACTATTACGATAAACGTTTACAATTCATCAAACAGCGCAGGCGTGTGATTTTCATTAATGACTTGAAGAGCTAAAAACGCACAAACAAGAAGAAGACTACATCTTGACTCAAGACAAAAGAATTATTCAACTTCATGTTATTCTCCCTCTATTTTATTTCACCTTCACTGTCATTTGGTTGTGTCATTTGTCATTGTGCTTTTTTAATTATCTTCCACGTGCGTCCATTTATATTTTTTCGATTGTGTTTTCCGTTGTTGTTATTAATAAAAGTCTTTAACTTGTTCAAATATGGAGAAATTTGTAAATGATGGCCAGCTCATCGAGTTGGTTAGACAATTTTCTGTATTATATGACCCCAAAAACCGGGAATATAAAAATAGTGAGGTCAAGTCCAATGCTTGGAAAACTATTGGAGAAGTTATGAATGCATCAGGTAACATATTTGTGATTTCTAATTTTTTGTTCAAATAAACATATATGTGATTTTAGTTGCGGAGTGTGAAGCTCGCTGTATCAGCCTGCGGACCATATATTCCAGGGAATCGAAAAAAGTCAGAACCACTCCTACAGGATCAGCAGCTACCAAGCCATGGAGGTGGTTGAAAGAAATGTCATTTTTGAGTGCCTATATGAGGAGGAGACAGTATGTGATTTCATTGTTGTATTGTTTTATTTTTATTTCTAATGTAATATTTTTAGAACCAGAGGAAATGTGCAAACGGTAGGGCCACCAGAACCAAGTCCAAGTACATCAGAAACAAGTTCTGAGAATCCCTGGGATTCCATATCGGTTATCATGGGGGAGACGGAGAGTCAAGAAGAGGACCCAATTCTTGAGACCTCAAACATTGAAGAAGATTCCCCCATACCCGAAATTACTCAAACTAGTTCACCATCAATGACAACAATGCGCAATGAAAGAAGTAAGCAGAAGAGAACGACTTCCACAAGTGAACTGATGGAAACGATCAATAAAGCCTGGGGAACATTTGATGCTGCGTTTCAACAAAAAAACAACAATCAGGACAGTGACAATGCAGACACTACATTTGGAAAGATGGTGGGACTTGAATTAAATGAAATTAAGGACAAAAATATAAAATTCAATGCAAAACAAAAAAATTTGAAAATTATTCATGAAGCAAGCAATCAAGATGATGAATGATTAGTTGTTCATATACTATATTCCATAATATTAAATATATAAATTAGAACCAACATTGCATTTTTAATTCTTATCAATGTACTCTCTCCAGGTTATCATTACAAAAACTCTGTTGTAATAATAATAATCATAATAATAATAATAACAATAATAATAGTGTTTTTATTAGCCAGCAGATACGAACAATGTAGACTAATTGTCAAAACAAAATATTAATTCGAATACAAAATGGTGCTGATTAAAAGGCGCAAGATCAGTTAAACTGTTCTTCCTCAAGGGCCCTTGTAATAAATTAATTTAAAGTAGTATTTGACCTCATTTCCTGGCAAGATCCCCTCTGATAATAATGATAAAAATAAGAAAAATAAATAATATCATTAACAATCATAATGAATTTTTGAAATAAAAATAATATCAATAATAATATAATATATATAAATAATAACATACCTATATAATTGATGGAAATTATGAAGTTCCTAAAAAGCATAAGAAAAACAAAAATATTGATAACGAAATCAGATATATATATTTCTATTATTTAATTTTATTATTTCGTTTCTATAGTTAACTCGCAGTTCCCTGAAACATTGTTTAAATTATCTGCTTCGGCTTTGATCGTGAAAGAGCATTTCAAAAACTGTCTTTTTGAATTGGTTATTGTAATTTCATTTCATTTATTTATTTATACTGCTAAAACAACAGGCTTCAGCCCAATTACAGAATAACAGTTTTATCACATACAGTACACATACAGTACACACTTGAAATTACTTCCGAAATTACCTAAAAAAATTAAAAACAAAGAAAGATTCACAACACAGTCCACTAACACGGTCACGTTAATTATTATAAAAAGTGGAAGATATACAATTAAGTAGAAAATAATTAATAGCAGGATATATTATATTGGAAGGATCTCTGAAAAAGTGATGTTCTATGTTGAGGAACTGTTAAATGTTCCCGCCTCCGTATATTGATGTTGTGTACATCCGATCGAAATCTAATTTTATTTCTTAGGTATGAAGGAGTACCATTCTTAATGATTTTGTGAAACAGTGTGAGGCAGTGCAATCTCCGTCTGTTTGCCATGTTCAACCATCGATTAGTAACCGAAGTATGGCTAACCGGATCCAATTTTCGAATTCCATGAATTAATCTTAGACAAGAATTTTGGAGTTTTTGTAATCTCGTACTATCCGCACCAGTCAGACAAGGGCCATAAACATAATCACAATAATTTACTTGTGATAGAATTAATGAGTCACATAAGGAACTTTTCAGTTTATTGGTCATTATGTGCCTATACGGATAAAATATCTTCAGTTTTGCATATGCTTTCTTGAGTATCATTGAAATATGTTTAGTAAATCTCAACTTATTGTTTATAATTACGCCAAGATTCTTATCTTCAGAGGTAATTTTCAAGGGTACATCATCAATTTTGATAGACAAGTCATTTGGAGATATGTCACCAAAGGATATAACTGACGACTTTGTTTTGTTGATTTCTAAATCATGCTTCTTCGACAAATCTATAATAGATGCCAAGTCTTTATTGATGTCATCTTGAGATTCTGCTGCATCATATTTGTTGAAGAAATTATATAATTGGGTGTCATCGGCGTACATATGAATATCTAATGTTTTCAAAGATGAATGAAAATTGCATGTATAAATAGTATATAGGAGTGGGCCCAGAATAGATCCTTGAGGAACACCTCTCAAAATGGTGCCTTCGTTCGATATTTTGCCCTGATATATCACGCTATGTGACCGCCCTTCGAAATATTTTCGAAATAATTTTATAGCTGGGTTACTTGATCCTTAAAAATGGAGAATAGCGAACAGTATCTCATGATTAATCATATCGAAAGCTCTGCTAAAATCTAGCAGGATCAAGACACCACATTTTTTTCTATCAAGTTCAGAGATTATATCATCAGTTATGTTCAGTAGTGCTGTACCGCAACTATGTCCAGGTCTGAAACCTGATTGATGTGGTGGTAGAAGAGAAAATGTATCTAAATATACTCTCAGCTGATTTTCCATGGCTCGCTCTAGAATTTATGATAAAGTGGGCAAAACTGTTACTGGGATCTTTCAACTCGGAATCGGTATCACCCTACCTTCTTTCCATTGGCTTGGATATTCAGATTTTGTCAAGCAAAAATTCACAATATGCGTAAGGTAAGGCAATATGAAGGGACAGAGGGAACTAATGAGTGTGATATTTATCTCATCCAATCCACTTGCTTTTGTTTTGGTACGCAGTATATAACTTGCAGCAAATTCAATTTTTTGATTATTTTTGTGATAATTTGTGAGTTCATAATCAGGATGATTAGAATTGCCATTCGTGGTGGAAAAATATGCATTTATGTCTTCTGCATTTGTATCTAAACTCTGATCGTTATTTTTGGATTTAACTATATTGAGCTTTCTTAAAATTGACCATTTCTCTTTATTATTACCTAGCCGCAGTTTTTGTTCTATAAAAACACTTTTTTTTCAGTTCTTATGGCCTGAGTCGTATAGTTTCTAAGATCCTTATAGAAGTTCCAACAACTAATTGTACGTTTCTTACGATATTTGGATAATGCCTCATTACGCAGATTTATAAGAATTTTAATGTTATCAGTTATCCACGGACTCCATGCTTTCTTAATCCTCACGGTTTTGAGTGGAGCATGTGTATCAAAAGTATTTTTAATTTTTTCATTCAAGAAGTTCACTTTTCCATCTATTTCATCGTAATTGTATAGATGGTCCCAGTTTTGTGTATTAATACTATTAATATCATTTTCAAAGTTGTTTAGATCGAATCGGGAAAAATCTCTATAGGATATTATTGTTGCAGGACTTTTTGGTATGCTTAGATTCAAAGTACATTGTACTAAACAATGGTCCGAAATATTCGCCACATTACTGACGTCCTTACTTAATGGTAATAGTTCCGAATTCAGAATAATAAAATCAATAAGAGTACGCGAGTTCGGAGTTATTCGGGTAGGTTCTGATATGATTTGTTTTAGGTTGAGACTATCCAAGAGAGACGCGAATTGTTTGATTTCCTTATCATTAGTATTCAAAAGATTCAAATTGAAATTTCCTAAACAGATAATATCTTCACACTCCAAAGATAAAGCTGATAATGTGTCCTCAAAAACATCTAAGAAAACTTTTACATCAGTGCTTGGTGGACGATACATATTACCGATATATATTTTTTCATTTTCCAAACCTATTGAAATCCACTGTTGCTCGATACAATTATTAATGATAGGAATATCTTTTATTTTTCTGAATCTCAAGGTATCTCTTATATAGAGACATATTCCGCCACCTCTGGATGGTCTATCACACCTAACTACTCGAAATCCAGATATGTTCACCATTTCATTAGATATTTGCGGATTGAGCCAAGTTTCGGATAAAGTGAATATATCTATATCTAGTTTATGAATCAAATCTCGTATTTCATTCATCTTTGGAAGTGATGAACGAATATTTGAATGAGCAATCTCAAGTTTTTTAAAGGTCTTCATGACCATGACTAGGCACTCTTTCACCAACGGTTAGAAGCAAACAATTATATCAAATAGGAAATGCTTTGTAATGGGTGAAATATTGTTCAAAGAAGTGAGTTGACGATAGATTATACTAACGAGTGAGTCAGCTAGTTTTCAAATACGGTTATTCCAATAATATATAGTAAAAATAGCAATTTCGTAAATACAAAAAGATTGAGATGGGATATTGGTGTTATATTTTTTTTTATCGCTTGGAGAGCACGAAAGGGAATCCCTATAATGTTCAAAGAACATCGTGCGTTCCTAGGGAGGATAGGGACAGGAGGTAGGTATTGGAGTTTTTTTTGAACTTTTGGTGTTATTATTATTTAGTGATACTATTCAATTCCTGCTGTCTTGTTTTTGGTGCTCTATTTCCGAATTCCTGTTTCTTTGGACTGTACTGTATCTTGGCCCTTTTCCGTTTTGTCGATGAAGAAGGTGGCGGCTTCAAGAGTACACTGCTGGTTTCACCCCCTACACTTGGCAAAGTTTGTATAACACTAGTTTGAGAGAGCTCATTAATTCGTTCAGTACTATCTTCTTCAGTTTCTTCCTCCGATTCGTCAGTTTCTTGTGAATTACTTTCCAGTTCGGCAAGATCCTTGACACTGTACAATACACCATCAACTTCTAGCTCATTCCCTTTTATTTTTGAAGTCAGTTTTTGCTGTCTGGCCTTTTTGAGGTGGTGTAATAAAACTTTTTGAATTTCTCTGTCTTCAACACTCAGATCATTCGCAATTGCGACACCACTTCCTTTCAAATTCCTGATATTTTCGAAGATTTTCTGTTTTTTCAATAGTGACACAAATTCAACTACTATGTGTGGTTTAGGGTTGGCAGTTTTTGCCTTATATATATTATTTATATCTCTTTCAGTGATGTTTATGTTGAGAAGCGCGTTTAGTTTCTCGAGTGTACCAGCTAATAGATTGGGGTTGTTCACCTCAAGACCAAATATAATAATATTGTTTCTTCGAATTTTCCGTTCTAAAAAAGATACTTTTTCCTCCAAATTCGTTATCTTTTTATTAGCTTCTTCTAATGTGTGATTTATTTCGAGAACTTTACTATTAATCTGTGTTTTCAGCTCTTCTGTTTGCTGATCTCGTGCTGTTATCAGTAATTTATATAATTCAGAGTTGGTCATATCATTCGAGAAATTTTCGTTGAAACCTTCGGACATTTCAATTTGTGTTATTGTATCAGCCAATGGTGGAATAGACGTATAGCTAGATCAATTTATTTCAGTCGTTATTTTCGTGGTAGCAAAAACTGGTTCACACTTCTTGTGTATGTTCACATCGATTTAATAGTGAGATATTTCATGTAGGTTATGTTGAATCAATATGCAGGCATTTCTATGGGATTCAGCAGACAATTAGTAAAAAATATCGACTTACTTAGTGTCTGATGCCTCAGGTGCAAGTCCTCTATAAGTACCACATCACTACGCACAGATTTATATAAATTTCGGCCAGGTTTCCTGATAAATTCGTGAAAGCTATCAGAGCT